TAAAAATAAAGAAAAGATACAAGTGGGCATGAAGCATACAAGTGCCATATGCTGTCTTGCAGCATCTCAATTCAAAGTTGCTGCAAGCAGTCTCTAGTTGATCAAACTCCCAGGCTTTTCTACTTGGTGTTCCAGGTGATCCCAGACATGTTCGATCAGTAAGAAATTTAGAGACTGAGGAGGCCAGAGAGGTGTGAAAATGTGGCAGAGGAAGTCTTGCGACACCCCCGTTCTGTGTGGTCGATCATTGTCCTATTGAAAAATGGTTTTTGAAAGTGCTGCTACGACAGGCAACACATGTGGCTGCAGGATGTCACTAACATATAGTAGGGCTGTCATGGTCCCTTAGATCACTACTAGAGGTGGCCGGATGTCGTATGTAAAGGCGCTTGAAACCATTACACCAGCTGTGAGTGTGCGATATACTGCTCCAATGCGTAGACAGGAATGGAGCATTCCTCACGAAATCTTCAGACGAACACGGCGGTCGGAAGTGCCCAAACTGAATGTGGATTCGTACTGTAGATGACTTTGTTGTGTCCGTTCTGTCCACTTCATCCCATTATGATCCAATCCTTTTAGAAACGGCACCACTCCAAACGGAAGCAACGGTGGGTGGTGTCAATGGCAGCACAGGTAATGGCCGCTACGATTCCAAATGTTCCTCACCCAGGCGCTTCAAAATGGCAAGGATAGACAAAGGAGACAGTAATGATGGCGCCATCTGTGTCCGGATGGCGGACAATGATACGGTCGGCTGTGTGCATGCTTGTCAGAGGACTGGGAGGACCCTGGACCAGTGATCTGCCGAGGATGTCCTGAGCCTGCGAGACGTGTGTGTGAGCTTTCTCTGGTCCACCGGTCCCAACACTTCTCACAGTGTTGTCAGAATGGACTAGGTGGCGGACTGTTCAGCGAGATAACCATTCGGCTTCTCTCAATCTAACGATCCTTCCCCTCTCAAACTCGATTAGTTCTTGATGCGACATAACCACTCCCCACCAGTGGGCGAGTGGTCTCCGTAGCCGCTCATCGCGGTAACCAGACCCTAAACACTAGGAAGTTCGGTCGTGGGTTCGCGCCGCGATCGGACAGGCTGGCTGCAAGGAGTTTTCCGGGTTTTCTCCTTGCCAATAACGACTGAATAGGAGGCCAGTTCCCCTTAAAAGTCCTCCCGGAAGGCATTTCTTTCCCGCGCGCGCGTATAAGCCGTTGTTACGGCTGGCTCTTCGGTCGCATAGCGATCAGTAAACACGTCTCTCGGAGAAAAAGCACATAAGGCTACAATCTCCATATGAACAGAGGGAGTTTGATTACATAGGCATCTTTAGTGATACAACAGGTAAAGTAGACAGCATACCTTTGCAAGCTTTTTTATAGGCAAAGAGGGACTTACTTTAATTTCCTCTGTTGTCATTCTGCAATGAGCCATTGTGTTATAATTTTAATCATTTTCATAGCAGCTTGAGACTTATCTGCATGCCAAGTTTCGCAATAGAGAAAACTTTTTAAAATATTAATTGTAACAAATGATTATAAAATCAACAAACTTATACAAAACAGAAAAACGATTACACACCACTATTTTAAGATTTTTCATTTATTCTCAAATAGTTGGGCATTCTTTAGGTACTAATTTTAATTCTGAGAGCAGGTTACTATAGGAATACGATCCTTTTTTAGCCATTCTTTACACCATACAATTCTATGCACAGCTTTTTTCACGTGAGTTTTAATACAGTTTGTTGCCAATAAACAACAACAAGAGATCCGTCATCATATGCCACGGTGAACTAAACTGAGAAGTTTTACTCCTTGTATACGGGCAACAGAAAATTCTGGACTTCCTCAGGCCAGGTCTGCGCAGTTAGTGTTCAAAGGTTTCCTCCTTATATGTGAGCCCCCGTGGTCTGAGTGGGCATAATATTGGCATTCACACTTTATTTACTTGATGGAAAAAGGTATAGAGATAAGATTCTCGAACCTCATGATGTTCGTTATTTTCCGAGGGGCTATGAATCAACTGTTGTTATTCATGGACGGTAAGACAAGGTCATTCAGTTGTCAGCTGATCGACGATTTTCATCAAAACGAAGTTATTCAAAACATGAAATCCTAGCATGTACTCATGTCTTAAACCAGTTTGTGCATGTGTAAAATGGACGAAAGAGTGAAGCTCGCCAGCCTCCACCAAGGAGTATCGCTGAGCTGAAAATTATTTTGTAGAAAGATTGGAAAATTCGCAATTGACCCTCGTTTGGAGCATGAAACATCACTATGACGTTTGTATTGCAGCAAGGGGTAACTACTCTTCTTATTATTTAAACAATTGTAGAAATTTTTTCTATCAGCGACAAACAACCCCCTCTTTTACATTCTCTTTTCTCCATTATGCATTTTTTTAAAAATTATGCAATAAAATTTTTTTTATGTGTTCTTCAATTGTTTCCTTTATATGAAATAGCTTTCTAGCTGACAATATCTATTTGCGGTTGATTCTGCCTTTTATTTAGCACAGGGCTTCTTAAACTATGTGTCGCGACCCCATTTGGGGTCGCTTAGCGAAATCTTGGAATCGCGAGATTTTAATGCAAAATATGAAAAATAATTCGTCAGAGTTTGAAAATGGCATGTTTTGCGTCATAGGTTTCGTGAGTTGCGCTTTGTGTCACTTCTGGTGCAGCGAGACAACGATTCAACAACACTGTAGTGTAAACAAGTGTTGTGTTGTCACTTTTCAGTGTATTCAGTTGTCTCTGTTCCATTGTAACACAAGAATGAACTGTGGTAGTACACCATTATTGTTTTTGCAAATTTGTATATATCTTTATTTTATATTTTTTGGGTCACGACAAAAGTCACAATCATAAATGGGGTCGTAAATAAAAAAAGTTTAAGAAGCCCTGGTTAGCACAATATTCACAGAAACAGCCATTATGCTTAACTTTTGGACATCAGTGTACATTCATGACAAACGATATATCATTGTGAGATAGTAGTGAATCACTTATTATTTTTTTATTCAGTATTTGTATCATTATATTTTCTATAGGCTTTGTAAATTTTGGTAACTGAACAGTGTACAATGTAATAAACTAATTAACCGTAAAATTTTATATCCTATTATAAATATTTCATTTAAAGATTCAAGAACTAAAACACAGATGTATTTTTTTCTTATTTCACATTAACTGTGTTTATATTATTTGAATTATATAATTATTTTTAGCTAAATAGATTTTGATAGGTTAATATGTTGATATATATTAAAATTACAAAATACAAGAATTATATAATAGATAGAATACAATAGATGTATATACAGATAGATAGAGTAAAAAATAATAGATAGATAAATAAAATAGATATAAATACAAAATTTTATACAATTTTAGAGGAGCTAATAATACATTACATTAGTATACTTGTTTTAGAACACAGTATTTATAAAAAGTGTTATTTTGTCGTTTAAAAAATAATTTGATATCGAATTTAATGCAAAAGATTAATTTTTAACAATAAATTATATTCCATTAACATCATGCTCTCAAAAAATTTATAAAGTAACATATTTTAAATATAGAATTGCATTAAAAATTTCATATTATTTATATTATATATCATAACAAATTATACACATTACAAAAATATTTATTACATAGATATAAATTTTATAAAGTTTAATGTATTGTTGAAGCGTGTGAAGTCTTCAATCAATTAATAAAAAATTTATTAAATATAGAAATAATTTTAAAAGATTTACAAATGATCTAAGACAAAAGTATTTGCTTTTCTTATTTTACAAGTAATTATTGTTGAATACAAAAGTGAATTACAGAATTCTTTTACTAGTAAGCATTTTTCGTGCGTTCTACAAATTTTAAATTTTAAGGGCAGATAATGGCGTTAGTTCTTATAACTTTGTTCTTACAATTATCATAATTTTAATCAAACATTATATTGTTTTTTTAATACTTTTAATTGTTCTGTGAATATATGCACAATATTGAAAATTCAAAATAATGTAAAATTTACAGTATTAAAATATAAGTAATAATAAAATGAATAAAATCTATAAAATATGGTAATATCTTATAAATTTTAGCTTGCATATTTTTCATTTTTGCGTTATTGTAATATGTAAAAGCTTCATAAAAAGTTCTTTATAAAAAATCATAGTGAATTCTCGAACTTGAAAGATCAGAAGTGTTTTGAATAAGTGAAATTTTGTCTAATCCAGAAATTCGAATGTTTTTGTATTTTGGGTATATCAAGAGCTATGCTATTAAGTTTGATATATTATAAACATTGCAATTCAGTTATCTAAATATATAAAATTATTTGTCCTGACTGATTGTATGATTGATTCATCATCGCCCAGAGCAAATAGCTGAACCTAAAGAGGTGAAAGTTTATACACAGTTAGGTACGTCATGAAAACGCACGTTAAGAAGGGATTTTTCGAAATTTCCCCGTGGGAGTAGAGGGAGGGCATTAAGGCGTAACCTGAAAAACGGCTTCTACTGTTTTCAAGTACGTTTAGTCTTCATTGAGTACTTAGGCGTATTAAATTAAATTGATAACATTTCAGACGTTCAGTTATAAATATTTTGATGTATTTCGATTTTTTAACTAAATGTTCGAACAGTTTTAAAATCGAATTTGTTCGATTTTAAAACTGTTCGAACATTTTTAAAACTTCATATTGGTTCGATTATAGAATGATTATAAACGTTCCAGAAAATTGATCAAATCGAAAATAGTTCGTTTGATTCTGAGCAATTGTCACCGTTCTCGGCAATAGTTGTTAAATAACAATTACTACGGTTGTCGAAATACTGAATATAAATGAGGCTTGCTTGCAATATCTGCGTGGGCAAAGTCGTGAGTACAGTACATAGAGATAAATTAATTTAATCAAAATCAGTCTAGTGTTGCTTATATGATATAGACAAAAATAAGAGTTATATTTTACATCTTGTATATTGATTGAGAAAATAAATCTAGAACACTTCAATTTATTTTAAATACTGAGAAGTTATTTGTTTAACGATAATTTCCAAGATAAATATAATTGTTGAAATTGTATGTCCAATTATTAGTATTCCGAATGATCCAAACAAATCATTTAATGTTAAAGGACGAAAATCATCAGGTTCTACGAACAACGATTGTCTTTTATTGCTGACACTAAGTAAGTCATCAGATAAAAATTTATCGTGTAATCCTGCTTCAAGGCATCTTCTCAAACTGAAATTAAAGAAAACGCATAGAAACAATATTATGTATTAATTTTAAAATAGTAAAATAAATTTAATAAAACAATATTTTCAGAAATGACGTACAAATTTTTATTTATGTAAAATAAATTTTTATCTATTTTGTTCAAAAAATTAATTTTAGGTGGTTTTATATACTCACATTTGATCAAATTCTGTTTTTAAGGGGAAATTTTTTCTTAGTCCATATGACACTAATTGCATAAACAGATTATCTGTAGAATACAGATAATTTTCTTCTCCTATTGTCTTAACATTCAATAACACAGTGTTGCTGAAACTTATAATTGCAAACATTCTTTCAAAATAATGTCTTTTTNCTCATCAGAAACAAATTTTTCTTGTAATCCTGCTTCAAGGCATCTTCTCAAACTGAAATAAAAAAATATGCGAAGAAACAATATTGTGTATTAATTTTAAAATGATGAAATAATTTTAATAAAACAACGTTTCACAAAATAACGTTCAAATTTTTATTCATGTAAAGTTAATTTTTATGTATTTTGTTCAAAACATTATTTTTATTTACGTTTTATATACTCACATTTGATCAAATTCTGTTTTTAAGGGGAAATTTTTTCTTAGTCCATATGACACTAATTGCATAAACAGATTATCTGTAGAATACAGATAATTTTCTTCTCCTATTGTCTTAACATTCAATAACACAGTGTTGCTGAAACTTATAATTGCAAACATTCTTTCAAAATAATGTCTTTTTTCTATTTCCACCAATTTTCCTTCGGCAAGAAATTTTTTCATAGTAGCAGTTAATTCTGTTTCTCCTTTCTGTTATAAATAAAGTTAATTCATTAAATACATTAATTTTAACAAATTGACATAAGACATTTTATTATGCAATTATTTGCACTGTATTACACACGAAAGAGAATGATTTTTAACTAAAATATCAATATTTAACAATAAATAAAAATCCACATAATACAAATTAACAGGGTTCATTTGTTAATTAATCATTGGAATAATATAAAATGTTTTACACTAACTTTAGATTCCACATTCCAGGACCCAACCTGATGATTGTGTTAAAAAAGTTTCAAAATTAAATGAATTGCATATATTAATATAACCAGAAAAATACAATCAGTTTTATGTATCAGTTTAAAGATAAACGCTAAATAATAATGCCAAATATAGAGAAATATACTAAACTGAACTATGAGTCGCCACGGACCTAATAGCCTATGATTACCAAATATACAGTTTTAAAATTTAAACGATAAACAACAAACTTTTTAACATTTATAATTAAAATAATGAAATAATTTTCTTGTCGGTTCTTATAGAAAAATAAAGGAATTTGTCTACAATAAACGAAAAAGATATTTGGCTTCATACAGACTCTTAGTTGTTTTCTTATTGAAGCGCAGTTAATATTGTCTTACCTTATATAAGGGTACCAGATTTTTTGTTGACTGGGCTTCAATTACTTAGCAAGATAATAAGTTTCATAAATAAAAATTACTTATTTTTTCGGAACCTCAGGCATGTCCAAATAAGCCTACCATCATTTAGGTAGTGTTCGACAAAGTACAAGAATATTGTTATAAAAACTGTTTCGTGACGATTAATATTAAAATTGTTTAATACAATATAAAATCTTGTTATTGTTTGAAGTCACCAGAGTATATTTTTAAAATAAAATTTCTATAGCTCTGATTGAATACAACACATCGTCCATTCAAGATTCGTTGAATTGAACTATACTACTTCCCTCTTTCCTTCCTTCCATACTTTACTTTCCTTCCTTCCATACATATCTTTGTAGTTAAATTACATTCAATTAATTTCTACAAAAGAATTTGCTTAGAGATGTGAGAAGAGTTATTTAAATTGAATATTTACATAAGTTATCACTATTGTCTTCTATTATATAAAGTTATTGCTCTTAAAATCACTTATAGTGTAACAAGATAATTCAGTCATACACAACTCTAGAAAATAATTAAACTGTAGAAATGGAGTTCTTGTCTTCGTGTATTGTAGATTTCAGCTGCATTATTGTGGTTTTTTCGGTTGCAATTTGAAGAAAATAGACTATAAATTTTCACTGTCAACCGTCTTTCTGTCTTTTCTTTTAATCTAGAGTTTGGACTAAGATAGATGAAAGCCGAAACCAAAAATATAAATCGTAGGGCAGTCCGTAAGTCACGTTATTTCAATTCAAAAATGTCCCCTGAAAGGAGTTAAATAGATGACCGTCATGACTGTGTTGCTAACCGGAAAAGTATGATGTACAGAGACAGGGGCAAAACTATCAATTTTAGGTAGAGAGCATATATTTTAAATTAAATAAATTTAAAAAAATATGATTAAAAATTAAGAGTTAGTAAATATTATAGATATTTTCGAGTCTGTTCATTTATTAGGGCAAAGTGTGTGGTTATATCTATTTTCCTACAATAAACGTTAGTTTTTGTAATTTATTCGTTCTTTCTTCGCTTTCGTCAAATACCCGAAAAAGAATTAATGATTACAGAATTAAAGTTATTAGCTAATATTTTATCTCAAATGTCAAATACCTTAACCACCACTCCTACTACTGACTTCATAGGAGTGCTCAATGTATAATGTCCGTTCTTTACAGCCTGAAATAAATCGGGAAATGTTCTCGGTACATCTTCTAAACCAGGAAATGATAGAAATGACACCAAACATCCGCTATAGCTATATACCAGAGTAGATACAGCAAGAATCCACATGATTGCCAGCAGTTTGCGACTCTGTCCAGTAGGATCAAAAATATTATTTCCTAAATAAATAATATATTTTATAATTATTGACATACTCACTCATGTTTAATATTGTTTATGTGATCTCTATTGTACAGTTTTATTGATAATAAAACTTATTACCTCTTAAAAATTAAAATGACTTAAACGTATTCATGCACATGAATCTGAATGATCTAACCTAAAACTTTTCATATGCATGTTCATTCAACTGATTAGTAAATTTGATTGATGTTATATGAATGTTAATATTAAATACAAAAAAATACTAACAGGTGTACAGTAGACCCCCCCTATAACATGGGTTCCTATAACGGAAATTCCTGTAACGTAGCGAAAAAATTGCGGCAGTATTCGTGTAAAGGGACTCCTAAAACGTCGTCGCCGATTCGTGTCGCGACAAGATTGGTCAAATCTGGACCAATAGTGGATGAGCAGCCTAACTACTTTCCGCCGTCCAGCGCCACGCTACGGAGAGTTTAGGCGAGTAAGTTGAGTTTACTATCGTCTGTACAGTATGTAAATTAGGTACCGTAAGTCTAATATAGTACTGTAATTTTGTACATTTCTTGTGAAAGAAACATTTCTTATTTAACGGCGATTAAAATTATTTATATTAATGATGTCTCCGAAGTTCAACGAAGTTTCGCAGAAAAATAAGTTATCAGAAATCGGCCGTGGTTTGGTGTGCTGCTTCGCGACGAAAACAAGCTTTAGCAATGGGGTTGTCGAATGGTGCATACTCGGTAAGTAATCCTACAACGTTTTGTTTATAGCGTAGTTTATACGGATTATTTCCAAAAAATATATACGTATTTTGCAAATGTTGAGTCGGATTAGACTAGAATCGATTAATTTTATGGAAGAAAACCTTTCAATCAGCCGTAGTTTGTAAACTTTACACGTGTCGGGCTGTGATTGGAACGACTCGTAAGAAATCGGATTCCTAAAAAATGGAATGTATCTATGATCTTATAGGGGGGTCGACTGTATATAATTGAGATGGGTTGATAATAATAAGAATAATCAGCGCAGAGCCCAAACGGTTAAGAGTTGAAAGTTGAAATTTGGTACACAGGGTACGTGACGATAACGCACACTAAGAAGGGATTTTTCGAAATTCTTCCCGGGGGAGAGAGACAGGATTAAGGCTTCGACAATGGAAGTATTACTTAACAATGAATGTGTAAGAATGGAAATGTCAACAATGGAAGTGTTAAGAATGAAAGTATCAAGAATGGAAGTGTTAACAATGGAAGCGTTAAGAAAAAGCAATGTGCAAAATTTAGAGACGCAAATGCAGTTTGTTTTCATTTTTGCAGGAAGTCGATCATGTTTTAACCATTCTAAAAGTTGTCTAATTAGTCTGGAAACAGGGGGACCTGATTCTTGCATTCTTTGAAAACGGGTAAGATTGACTATAACGTAATAATCTTAATCTTCGCTATCGTTACTTTTTGCCCGAGCAACGCCGGACCTATCTGCTAGTTATAATATAAGTACTAAGGTAAACTGTAGGGTAAACCTGCCTAATTCGTACCACTTAAGGAAAAACTATCATATTATCGAAATTAATAAACACAAATTATTTTTTATTTTAAGTAACTTTTATTTGGGAAATATTTTATCACTACCATAGTAAAATTTAGCATAAATCTTATAAACTTCTGAGAAATAAACAATTTAAAAAAACACTAAAAAAGTACGATTTAGGAACATTCGTCTTAAATCGTACTGATATATTCTTAAATCGTACTTTGAAATCCTATCATTGGTTTGCAGTCTTAAGAATAAAAATCTTTATCAATAATGTATTAATACGTGTGTATATTAACTCTTAACAAATTCGGCAGATGGTCTTCGCCAATTTTTGGCAGTCATCGCAGTTGTAATCCGTTGTTTTTTATTGGTTTCTGCGCAAAGTTCATGTACTCGTACTTCACTCATATCGTGTGCATTTGATCATACTTTCTTTTACGTCTTCTTGGCATAATTTACAGTACCAACTGATATTTTCATCTCCCTGTTTTTTTTATTCTCCTTTTGTTATATTTTAGTAGTTTTGCTTTTCTTCGAACCAAGATTCTTTCATACGTTTTTCTTCTTGCAATTCCAAGAATACCATGTAGTGGAGAAATTATTTCAAATGTCGCTCGAACTGTCTCTGTATTAGAAATGTTTACTTTCATACCTAAAGAACATTCCTTCGCTTTCTCTTCTAGACATTGATCTCGCTGTTTTTCCGAAGGGTGAGTTGTAGGGACTCAACTTCTTTAGTCTGTTTTTGCTCTGTAGTCTGATTGGATTGTGCCACATACGTTAAAGTATCTGTTTGTTCTTGCTGTCTTTCAGTTGCCAGATTCTGGGAGACTTCCGCCGATCCACTTAGATTAACATCTTCGTCAAGAACAACATATTCCTCATCCCAGATCTTAAAGCGATTGCGAGGCCACAATCCGCAAGATTCGAAGCCATGCATTCCTGTGTCCATACAAACGGCTCGAGGATATGCTTTATTAAGGAACCAGGATGCTTTGCATCCACGATGCTCAAGCAGCACTAAAATCAGTTATAGTGATTTGAAAAATGACCTATCTAGTCTATTCTTTGATGTGTATTCAGTTCTTGTAACTGTCGTCTAAATGTCAATTTCGGTAGATTATATACACTAAAACTTCGTTAAATTATAAGGTCCCGTCATTATATTTTTTAATTGGTTCTTTCATATTTTCTTTACTCCAAAAATTATATTTTCTTTTTGACATGTTGTTCTAAATTTAAAGACGATTAAGTTTTAATTTGTTTTGAACTTTTGCGGTTATTTTTTAAATCAGAAACTTAGAAAAAAAATAAGTTTACGAATCGGTAATAGTTTATTGTGACATTCATTTAAAATAGTTTTCCTAAATCGTACCAGTACGTTTTAAGAACATGCCTCGAGTACGAAATAGGAGCAAGAGTCGAACAAACTTTACATTAGTCGCCAAAAAATTTGACAACAGATAAGCACGTTTCATCACTTCAGATGAAATCACAATAATACGCACTAATACATCACAGATAGTTAAAAAACTTACACACGATCCAATTTGAAGAAATTTCGTACGAAATGTGCAAAAATATTACAGAAAAAGTTGAAACAAACTTTCCTTTTCAATATTTTTGTCGGGAGCAGAGTAACAGCGTGTTGTCTGTCAGATGGTAATATGACCGATTGTTATTTACTTCTTTTGCTACTAGAGACACTAATAGCTATTACGGGAGTGAAGATATAAGCGAAGTACGAATTAGGCGCAAGTACGAATTAGGCAAGTTTCCCCTA